CAAAAGCGCGGGCCCCATGTATTTTCAAAAATGACGGCTCATGGTCCCCACCCCCTAATGTGAGTGGGATGTAAAAGATTTGGTAAGTGTAGCATGACTCAAAACTTAAAATCAAAATTCGCCTGAATAATAACACGAAAGAGAAACTCACTCCAGTCCCATGGTAGTGACAGTGAACTTCTGGTCCCAGATCCCTTCACAAAAGATCTATTACCCCAACAGAAAAAAAAGGTTGCATTAGGATACAATTTTAGTCAAAACCAAAAAATCAATACGAAAACGAAGAGCAAACAAAGAGACTCGTGCATTGATATGGACGCATTTTCAAGAGAGCCAATGTTCATTTGCTTTCTTACTCAGAAAACTGGGATATAATTCCATCAGAATCTGAAAATGGGCGCTTTATTGACAATAACTTGCAAATTTCATTTCCTCTGGGTCATCATCACTTTCAGAATCTGTAAACATCAGCTCATCAGAAGCGAATTTCATTTCTTGATGAACCAATTCAGCAAGGTCATGCCTGTTGGCAATTTTATATGCATCTATCACTGCCTGGTGCAACAATTCATTAGGCTCAATTGCTCCATATATTAATTGGCTATAGATCCTCTTCACGCCTTCAACCATGCCAGCTTTAAAATGAAGGTAACACTATTGGGCTCTAGTCCCCCATCTTGCATTCGCATAAACATGTTCAATGCCCTTCAGTTTTCACCATATCCCCCGCCCCCACATGCATGTATTGCAGCATTATAAGCAAACGAATCAAAATCCAAATCTGTTTTCTTGAAGATTTCACAAGATTGTAAGGCATATGTATCCAAACCCACTACCAAAAAAACAGAGGTTATCACAACTTGCCAGGCATAAGGTCTTCTGTTCGTGAAATTCCGCAAGTGTACGGATTGTGACAACTAATAAAGTGGATTTATTAAATCCGTATATCGTCCCACGGAGACTAGTATTTATTATAACGTTTTAAACTAATTTAATTTCAATTTAAATTAAAATGGTGACTAATGATCAAATCAAATTTTATTTTCTACGTGAAATTCTAATAAATAAAACAATAAACTATTAATTAAAATAACAAACTAAAACTAAAACTGTAGAAAAGATTACGTAATTGGATAGTTAGGATTTTCGATTTCACTTAGGTTATTTATCGCACATTTAATTTCAATTTATTCAACCATTTTTTATACGTGCCAACGATCGAATTAACATGTTGTATTTATTGATCTCTCTCGAGCAACACTAATCATATTCATATGCCCGAGCTTACTATATCTCTACGTAAATTCACACACACATGATTATACAACAAAATTTGATTTTAGGAAGTGTTTATTTACCGCATAATAAAAATGGGATTCCGAACTTACTATATCTCTATATAATTTCACACACATATAAACGCATTTATTTATAGGAATTCAACAAAGATAGCACAAATTATAGTTATATCTCGATCTCTTATAATGTTTATGTTAATTATTGCACGAGCTAGAATTATACACCACCTCTCGGTCTCGGTATTATCCCTAAATCAATTAATTATTGCGCAAACAAATAAAAGCATTAAACACACAATAATTAATTAACAAGTATTAAAATGATATGAAAATATTGAAATTAAACATATAATAAAAATTTAAACTACATCATCAATCCTAACATAAAAATATTTGATCACTCATAATGTTGAATTTAAATACGCAAAAGTGGAAAGAAATGACAAAAAATTAACGAAACGTGGTTAATTTAGTTGCTTTTGCCGGCCAATGCGTGAAAATAAAATATTAATTGCTGCCTTCTCTCTGCTGTTGCGTGTATATACATTATCCAGTAGCAGGTCCTTTTCTCTTTCCAGAAGCTGCCCAATCTCAATTCAGCCACTATTCTTTCACTCCAGCTGCCAGTTTCTCCTCCAATTTCACCAAAGTCGATGCTTTGTTACGTGAATACGTATAAAATTTCAATCCCTCCCTACGTGGTGTTTTTTTCTTTTCTGGCTGCGTTCTCCCTCATCTCCGTCTATATATATATATATAGTCCAGTTTTAAAATCCCAATTTGTGGTCCAATTTATTTTGCAACCAATGTCAATTTAGTCCCTGCACTTTGAATTTTTCCTTTTTCCGCATATTTTACATTCATTTCTTTAATTCTTCATTAAACATGAAGTTTTACGTACACAATACAATTTAACATGAATTCAGTAAAATTTAATTCAAAAGACAAATAAAATAACATGATTCAGCGCCGCAAATAAGTATGAAAACAACATTTATCATCTTCCTTCCTGTTAAGACGACTCAAGCTGCATTACTGCTTCAGCAGGAGCACCTCCTTTCTTTAATATGGTAAATATTATTTTGAATGTTCCCTGAAGGGAAATATGGCACAATG